CATATCAAATCAAGGGGTGAAGACGAGAACAAAGGCTTAAAACAATCATAAAGAGATAAATATCAAGGATAGATATATAGTAGAGAAGAAAATATTAAGATTTATAGAACAAGGATTTTATAGCAATTTCAAAACCTTAAGACGGCCAATTTCTAACTAGGCTTGCGTCCTACAGTCAACATTGCTCTGATACCACTATGTAGCACCCGATTTTAAGAACAAAATTAGATACACACCATATGTGAGCCCAGGAAGTCAAATCTTACATATAGCTACAAATAAGGGTAATATCAAACGACAATGCTTAAATACATAGTGTAATAGTATAAAGATTATAACCTCAGAGTATAGACAGCGGAAAGATAACTCCGATCTTCAGGCGAAGACTCCACTTCCACAGGGATAAGTGACTGGTTGATCATAAGCCTAATTTCTCCAAACTCTAGCAATCTAGTACCCATCCAGGATTTTTTTTCCAAAGATTTAAAAATAAAGCAAGCGTAAGTACATGTCGTACTCAACAAATATAACATGGGGTTCATGAGACTCAAAAGGCTGACACTAGTTTAACTGCGATTAGCTTTTAATTATCACAATTTTAGCATAGGAGTAGCAACAAGTTTATCACAAGCCCATAAACACATGATCAGGTAAACATGAATAATGAATAGCATAAACAATAATCATTAGTGAGCATCTTTATCATCAGTATCATTAGTGTTCATCATCATTAACCATTAGTGATCATCTATTTCGTAAGGGTTCCAAGTCCGCTTGTGACCGTGAGCACGACTGATATACCAGTTTTACACTCTGCAGAGGTTGTACGCTTTCACTGTGAGTCGTGATTTACCCTTTCACCCGAGGTAGCTAATCTCTTGACGCACTTCCAAGGAAGGTCAACAGGGTTCACTATAAAGCCTTTTAAAGGTTCATCTAATAAGTTAGGGCCATTAGATTCACTCGGCAAACAGATGTAGAGCCCCCCTTCCCGATGGCACAATGACGCACAACCTATACACAAGGGAACAAAGGCCGCACTATACCCGATTCGTCAAGCCATTCTTACGCCAATAAAGATAACCACTAATAAGCTAGAAAAGAGCCATATAGCTTTCACAGTTGTACTGTAAGTTTTGGATGATAACTTACAGATAAGTCGTTAGGGAGAGGAATCTAGAGCATCATAAAAACAGCCCAATGCTCTAGCCCCTGGTTCTATGTTGCTAAAAAGTACCTTTTAATGTTTATTGCATATACCATTAGTCAAGTTACAAGATCACGATCTTTAATTGAGCACTAGCATCATACTACCCAATGCAATAACCCATAGGTGACAAGGAACAAGGTACAAATTACTAGAAAATCCTTAGTGGTAATCAAGGTAGACACATGCAGCATAAATTAAATAATTAAATGTGTATAGGACAATAAGGAAGATCCCATGCTATACTTGCCTTAAACACCGATTCTTCGGTAAGCTTTAATCTTCAACGTTCTTCTTCTTCTTCTTGATCACCATGTATATCTCACCGACTGGACGAAATCATAAAGCACGACACAAGCATCCATACAATCATACACGAAGCAAACAATAGATCTAAATTAGAACAGTACACTAATCATAGAAAAATAAGTGAAAGATTTAATGCGATTCTACGCATCGCTACGAACACACAGACACGAGAGGCACACTAATCGGAACTACGGTTAAAAAGATACAACTATCGAGAGATCTACTCAAAAAACTATTAGCTTCATGTGTTTTATTTATATAAAAACATATATAAGATATTGTATAGATAATATAATTTAAGTCAAATTTAAGTTTGAATTATAATACTAAAGTAAAACAAATCATATTTTATTTATAAAACCCAGTTACATAATTATTATTCAAATTAGAATTTAAACCATGAAATTCTAGAAATAGTGACATGGTAACCACTGTTACTAACGCGTAAATCTCGTTACAATGAATCTAACACAACTTGAACGTGCCAATTCGGAACTAAAACGCAGAAGTTATGAAATAAATAAGATTTTCTTTATTAAAATAATAGATTAAATCTAACCTCGAATTTTAAGAGTTGAAAACATATCTAAAAGTGGTATAAACATGTAGACAACGTAAATACGAACCTAATGCTAGTTGAACGGGTCAAATCGGAGTTAAAACGGAGAAGTTATGACTAAAACAAAATCAGTGGCAAATCTGTAAATAGCTGAAAACGTATTTTAGATTTAACTGAAACAAAATACGCTTTCAAATGAAGAAAACAAAATCTGTAAACATGTTTTGGACTGTGGGTTTATTTTCCAAAAATACAGGGTCTCTTTAGCAAAAAAAACAGCGAAGGGGTATGTTTTAATCTGGGCCATTAATCTAAAAATGGACGGCTCAGGATGATGTGTATTTCTATTGTATTTCTGGATTTGTTTTTGTAAAGAAAAACGGCCACAAATAGAGCATGCCGTGGAAGATGATGTCAACAAGCTAACTAGCAAATTGAATCAAGGCAACGCATCGCATGCACGGCTCTCGGCCGGTGGCGCCATGGCCGGTGATGGAGCTATGCCGAAACAGTGATATCGAGCGCGGTTAACAACGGGAAGGACTTGGGGAGGTGGAGAAGAGAACGGTGAGCTTACTTGGTGGGTCTCGGCGGTATGAAAGCAAGCGGAGACGACGCCATCTTTCTTGCGGGCGGATCGGACTGCGTTAGGGGAATTTGGCTGCTTTCCTTGCGTCTTGGCGAAAAGGCTATGACCGGAGCTCGGATTGGGAGGCATGGGCACGGGCATCCAGTTAATATAGGGTGGCTCATGCGTAGCGCCAGCAGTAGGGGAGGAATCGGGCGCGGCGCGACACGACCTCTGCGCGAAGTCTAGGTTGTCGACGAGCCGACGTGGGGAAAAGGCATGATGGACGGGGCCACCGGTCGATCGACAACAGAGGGAGAGAAGGCGCTACCGGCGGCTTTAGCTGCTGCTGGTGAGGGCCACTGTTGGGCACGAAGACGTGGCGACGTCGGACTTCCATGGCGCGGCAGGAGAATCCTAGGCGGCTACGTCGCGAGGAGGAAGAAAAAAACGACAACGACACACGGGGCGGGTGGCGGCGACACAGGCGCGGGGCGGTCGGCCAAGTGGGAGAGAGAGCGTGATGCGGTGTTGGGCCTACCAATGGTCGTGGAAAAAGAAGGCACGGGCCGCGGGAAAGATGAGAGAAAGCGGAGCAGGCCTACCCAAGAGAAAGGGACCGGGATGGATAGCCGGCAGCGGAAATAGCCGAGCAGGCCAGAATGCCGGGTAGGGAGAAAAAAACAAAGAATTCCTTTTCCATTTTATTTTCAAAGCCAATTCAAATATGACCAAAGTCAAATTCAAATGAGGTTTCAAATATACTTTTTCAGCTCAAGTAAAAATGAGGAATTTTAGTAAGTCTTCCCAAAAATTATTTTTACAACTTTTTAAATTCTTTTGTTTTCAAATTTTCTTTTCTTTTACTTCAAAACCATTTTTAATTACAAAAAGCAATTTTAACTATTTTAAATTATTTTTACAACTTTTTAAATTCTTTTGTTTTCAAATTTTCTTTTCTTTTACTTCAAAACCATTTTTAATTACAAAAAGCAATTTTAACTATTTTAAATTTTAATCAAAACCACTCAACCAAATACATCAAATGCGATGACATTTATGCACAAACATGTTGCTAAACCTTATGATGAATTTTAATTTAATGAAAATTTTTATTTTTCTATATTTTATGAGCACAAAATTCAAAAATAAATCATTTTATACCTATTTTCAAAAGAGGTAAATTTTGGGGTGTTACATTATCGGGATACTTAGCAGATATCAGAGTAATCCAGAAATAGAATACTGGAGAATGGAAAAGAAAGCTTTACATTATTTGCAAGGCACAAAAGGTCTCATGCTAACATACAGAAGATATGATTCCCTACATATAGAGGGGTATTCAGATTTAGATTTTACGAGAGATGTAGATGATAGAAAATCCACATCAGGCTATGTATTCACTATCGCAGGGAGAGCTATATCGTGGAAAAGCTCCAAGCAAACTGTTGCTGTATCGGCCACGATGTATGCTGAGTTTGTAGCATGTTATGAGGCCACGGGGCAGGTAAACTGGCTAAAGAAATTTATGCCCGGATTGAAAGTGGTCGATGACATTCATAGGCTACTCAAGTTGTACTACGATAATGAGCCAGCAGTATGTTATGCTCACAACAATAAGTCAAGTAGTGCTGTCAAATATATTGACATAAAGTTTTATGTCGTGAAAGCACTAAGTCTGGGATCATTCTATTAGTCTCGAGATATAAGTACAAAGAAAATGCTTATAAATCCGCTTACAAAAAGACCTCGAATAGAAGCATGTACACCCGTTGATGTACACCTAGGAGTATCCTAGGATTCTCACAACAAGCATCTGGCGAAACTATGTACGGAGCGATTTTGCAATCTGCCAGGAGTCAAGGAGCATGCTCTGGCAATTTATATAGAAGTGCATTAGCAATTTCTGCTCTGCATCGCTATGGTATACATTCTCCCTTTCTTTTTATGCATATCACCTGTACCTAATATAAAGAAACAGAATTTCTGCAACACCTGTAAACTTGGGCAGCAATGGCACTACAAGAATACTCTTATTTGGCACATCATGCATCTCAAAAGTCACTCCGCAAAACCAAGTAAACTGTACAATAAGCCTTCTACACGAAAAAAAAATGACTGCTTGAGCTTAATGAAAAACATGGAACCTCCAGGTTTGTGGAGAAGATTGCCTATCAGCCTATTTGTGATCCCAGAAAATGTGAACCTATCCATTATTTTTGTGGTGGCCTCCATGGGATGCACCAAACCGTTTGTTTACAATTGTCATGCTCTGTGACTTGTTTGCCAAAAGAAAACTCCAGGTGACCTTTTAAGTCACTTGCTGTTTTGCTACTAACTATGCAAGATGATCTGAATCATTGTGTTCTCACAAGCTTAGGCGTCCACCTTTGCCATGCAAAACATCTCCCCTCCCTGGCTTTAATATCTGCAATCCTTCTTTTCAAGTCAAGGCCTTTCCGTTTCTTTTCGTCACTCACTAATTCCTTTGAATTGCTGATCAGGGGATGCTCCGGTGTTCCAATTTCGCTGCTCTCAACGATCTTCTGCACCATCTCCAGCACTTCGCTCATCTTGGGACGGTACCTGGCATGGCGCACCAGGCACTTATTTGCCACCGACGCAAGCTGGGCAGCTGATTTTATGCTGTAGTTCCCTTGAAGCCTTGGATCAATTACAGTCTCAAGCTTCTTGGCGCCGGAAGAGTAGGGCTTCATCCAGTGCACGAGATTTTGCTCACCTCTTGGCCTGTTCCGGTCCAGAGGTCGCCGGCCTGTAAGGAGCTCAAGGAGCACGACGCCGAAACTCCATATGTCATTCTTGGTGCTGAGGCGTCCTGTGTGGATGTATTCAGGAGCTGCGTATCCAATTGTTCCCACCACCTGTTTGATATACGATACCAGAATTTTAATAACTTGGAGCTTTAAACAGAGGTTGATATCCAATCCATGGGTTATAAAATTTATGTTTGGATATACTGCTATTGATTGATGCAGAATTTTAGAATCAATGTGGTAAAGTGTTGAGAACTGGAAAGCTCCCAGAAAGCTAGCTGGTTGTAACTGACCAGAAAGGCTGACTTTAGGCAAGTAGCGTGCGAAATAACCGAGAGTGCCTGGTTGCATTTGTGCTACTTCTCTACTTTTATTTGCTTGCGTAGAAGATAGTACTAGTAGTAAACATGGTCAGCCGTCAGCCCCTTGTTTCCACAGGCACGAGGCCACCAATATTTGAAAGTTTTTCGAGCACGTGCACCAATTGCTTGACCGGATCAGAATGGTAGAATGATTCTGTGTTCTAAGTTCTAACCGGTCTTGGGTTGGCTACTTGGTTCCAGGTACCAGGAGGAACGTGAGAAGCTGTCTTTGAGATCAATGTGCCAGAAGCTACTAAGAGCAGTGCCTCGTCAAATTCTGTACATTATTGTGTGAAGAAGATTGTTTGATGCGTACCGCTGTGGAGACATGGCATCCTTCTTGAGGTCCTAATCTCGCCAAGCCAAAATCTGACAGTTTGGCGTTCCAGTTGTCGTCGAGAAGAATGTTCGAAGGCTTCAGGTCGCGAAATATTATCTGAAAACAATGCAACGCTTCTTCTGAATGGCATAGTGTGAAAGGTACGGAACAGGGGAAATGTACGTAGCAGCTGTGCAGTCCGAAGAACGTCAGAGATTCGAGGTGAATGAAGCGTACCTTGACTTCGGATTCTTCATGGAGATACTTCAACCCTCGAGCTGTGTCAAGCGCCACCCTGAGCCTCATCGCCCACGACGCCGGGCGCGGCGACCTGGAGGAGAGATGGTCCGCCAGGCTGCCGTTGGGCATGAACTCGTAGACGAGCAGCAGCTGCATCCCCCTCTCGTCGTCCTCGGCGCAGTAGCCGATGAGTTTGACCAGGTTGGCGTGGTCCACCACCCCGAGCAAGTTCACCTCCGTCATCCACTCCTTGTGCCCCTGCAGGCCCTTGCGGCCGAGCTGCTTGATGGCGACGTCCAGGCTCCTGCGCGGCTCCAGCGCGCTCCGGATGGTGCCCCGGTAGACGCAGCCGAAGCCGCCCTCGCCGAGCATGAGCGCGCGGCTGAACCCGCGGGTGGCCGACTTGAGCTCCTGGAAGGTGAAGATGCGCAGTGCGTTGGGCGGCCGCTGCGACGACAGCGACAGCTGCCGGCACCGGCCCAGGGAACCCGCGCTGCTGAGCTCCGACGCGTTCAGGGAGCACTCGGACGCCGACCGCCGCACGTCGCGGTCCGTCGACGTGGTGCTGCTGTTGGACCGCGCGGAAAGCGACCGCCCCGTCGTCGTCGTCGTCGCCGCCGCCGCCGCCCCGCGCCGCTCCTCGGCCTCCCGCTCCCAGCTCGCCAACCGGAAGCAGTGCATGGCGCTTCTGATGCTCGGAGACGCCGCGCCTGCTCTACAAAAAGCATCCATCGTGGGCGTGGACACACACAAAGTAAGTGGGAGGGCTTTTCTTTCTTTTTTCACTCTGCTCCAACGGCACCAATGGCGACAGGCAAGAACATTGATAAATATTCGATGAATCGCAAAAGCGCTAAACTCTTTTCTACTCCTTACTAATACTATATGTCAAGTTGAAAAAGCAAAAGATGAACCCAAAATGGGAACGAAATTTGAAAAGGAAGGCCAAAAGGCGGATCATAAGAAGATCAAGAAAGCCAAGTTTTCGAACCAAAACAAAGATCAAACAGCTCAAAACGAGATCGATCACCAATCAGTGGAGACCAAACCACCCACCAAATCTCGTAGGCGGCGAGCTTGCAGGCCCAACAACACACACGAGAGGAACGACGTCGTCACGCCAGGGACGGAGTCGATTAGGCAGCCACATGGCATCAAACATTTTTTCAAGCCGGTCCTCCCCTCCCTTCCCCCTCCAACCACCCAACCAACCTTCACCGTCCACGCAATCGCTGTTAATGGCGTTACCCTACCCCGCCGCGATCCCTTGCTCCTCCGCACCCACCCCCAACGAACGAATCCCGTTCCCAGTTCCCTCCCAAGAGCAAAAAACAAACAAACACAATCTTGGTTCAATCGCTCACCTGGTCACCTGCACATGGGACGGGGGAAGAATATGCGCGCGATCGCTAGCTCGTCGGAATCCGCCCCGAGAAAGAGAAAATATTGACAAGGGCGGTGGCCGGTGGGAGTTGATTGGGTAGGGGTGAAGAAGAGTTAATTAACGGGTCAATGGAGGGGGCGGGGAGGGTGAGGGTGTCTGCTCGTGTGCGCTACGCGCGGCGGCGGCCTTCGTCTTCGTCTTCGTCTTCCTCCTCCGCTGTCTGTATCTGTTTGGTTGGTTCCTTGCTTTTTTGGGGTGTGAGCGGGGGCGAGAGAAATGTGAGCGTTGGACAGCGAGACGTTTAAATGCTTTCGACAGTGAAGCGCGGAGAAGGTGCGGGTACGATGGCCGGGTACACAAGCTGGAAACTCAATAGCAAACAAAAGTTATAAACGGACATGATCACATGAGTAATCGCGATTCGAATTCCGTTCAAAAGTCGATAGCTAGGTAAGATTGCAAATCCTTTGTGTGTTGAACGATTATGTTAACAAAAAAGAATATTTACATTACATCCCTCATTTTATTAGAGGATCCCCGTAGAAAAAGAAAATACTCCCTCCACGTTAAAAAACATACTCCCTCCGTTTCAAATTATAAGACGTGTTGTTTTTTCTAGATATATAGTTTTTGCTATGCATTTAAATATATTATATGTTTAGATATAAAATAAAAACAATGTATCTAGAAAAGATTACAACTGCTTATAATTTGGAATGAAGGGGATAGCAAGGAAGTTCACTGCAAAAGATGAAGTTCCTTGATATATAAGGCATATTTGGATGTTTTGTTGTACCATTCTTTGGTGGGCATCGAGACACACATTTGGATGTCTTGTTGTACCTTGCTTTTCTTTGGTGGGCATCGAGACACACCGTTTAGATGGCTTGCTTGCAGTATTGTTTATTGCGCTTTTCATAATTTTGGTCGCCAAATGAGTTGAAACCACTCACCACAGCTGGCAAGCATGGCCTTGCCAAGCGAGGCAAGGTGAGCTGGCTAGACAACACAACCAAACACACCCTTTACTACAAGAGACAACACGCCAAAACAACTATCCACGCGCATAAATAGCTATGAGTGACCATCGCCAACCTCTTCGCTAGAGAGGACCGAGCCGCTGCCATAGTAAACGTTGACGCTCAAAACTGATCAAAACAGGCAAACCTGGGTTGATTATGGAAAAATCAGTTTCGTTTGCCTAAGCTAGTTTTAGAAGTTTCTTAAAATAAAAATTAGACTTCACCATTGCCTAAAAAACACTTATAACGCCTACACAATTTCTATTTAGATGTGCACTATATTTTTTCAATGTTGTCATATCTAACACAAAAGAAGTTTTATATCCTAGGTTTCAGTCCTATCAACTAATGTTGCAAGCTAGACTAGAAAGGCAAAGCACATACTAAAGAAGCAAAGTAATTGCGAAAACATAATTGAGTTAGAGAATGCAAACTTCCACATGATGATTTTTCCCGAGGTATTTCCACTAATCCTCATTGAAGCCCCTCGCAAAGGCCAAACTCCGCGGTTGAGTAACTCTACGGATAGTCCACGGGCCTTCCCCATGCGTAAATGGGTCTCCGCATGATCCCCCACAGTCTTCACTATGGAGAGCTTTTGGCCAAAGCACTAAGGGCCTCTCGTCCCCATGCACAGCCAGCGGCCACACCACAAGCTCGGTTAGTGTGATCTGGTAACATTCCAAGTCCTGTGTGTTCAACTTTTGGTGCGTGCAAGCACTCACGCAAGGAGGTATGCAAACCTTACTAAACACTAGACCTAAACCTAGAGCAAATTCTAAAGCGGACTCTAACTAGCATAAGCACTAAACCTAGCATTTTTTGGTAATAGCCTAATCTTCTCTTTAGCGCATATTGTGGCTAGAGCAAAAATTTTTGAGCCTCAACTCAATTATAGATTCCCCAAGCTCTGACACATTCCAAATGGGCGTGTATGGGGTATATATAGCTCCAACACACTCTACTAGACGTTGCAAACAAGGTTGCACTTACAGTGAGCACCAGAACTCTCCGGTGACCACGTTGGAGAAATCTGGTGCCTTACCACGTCAGCTAGCCGTTGGCTAACCGCTTGAAGCCTTAATCTCTAGTGGTTTCTCCAGTGCATTGTGTATAGTTGATTAGGGCCTCACTACTACACCACATAACTCCGGTGCAATCTCTGGTGCATCACTGAAGAGCTCTGGTGCTCTCTTCTCCTCGACCACCCTTGTGAATCGCCTCAGTACCATAACTCTGGCGCTACTCTCTGGTGCACACACTAGAAGTATGTAGTGCACCGCTTCCAATCGTGCTCGGACTAGCCCTACCTGAAAGCTTCGGTGACTTGTTCGGTGCCTTTATGAGTTGTTTCTTCACATCCATTTGTTTGAGCTTCACTTGTATGATGTATTGAGCTTATTGCTTGTCTTTCTAGGGTCTTCAATGCTCCTCTTTAATCTTCATTTGTGGTGTTGATTCCTCGATCTTCACCATAGACTAGATCATGTCTATATTTGTATCCTAAAGACTAATGTACCTTGTATACTAGCAAACATTGTTAGTCAAAATAGTTATGTTACCAATCGACCACCAAATCACTAAAACCTTGCTAGGGTCTATGTTTCTTACACAATCCATCAGAAGCACAACCAATCTTCTATTTTGTCTTTTGCAAAAACCTTAACTCGTCTAGCCTCCATATATGTTGTTCCACCGCTTCTCGACGACGTTTGTGGGCGCTCATGCCTTGCTGACATAGAACAACCCCAGGAGTGTCTCCATGATGGGATCCTTCCTGGGAGTCGTTCCTAGTTTTTTTATCGCAGCGAGTCTGCTGAAGCCGGTTTTCCCTGCTTTGCTACAATTTGTTCCTTGAGTGGTCCAAGCAAGCCTTATGTGATCTGGGAATGCTAGACCTTTGGGTGTGGGTGCAGATTTGTGTGAACACACTGCCAGTTTGCCTATGACCCGACAGTGGTCTAACATGAATTACAGGATATTTGAGTATTTGCATCGGTTCAAACCATTTTTGGACGCACCTACCTAGAGTACATGCATGAAGTGTCAACCATTGGATCCATCTACCTCCGCCACAACCTTATAATAACCTTGGTTGGTAGGGATCCGGATTCTCCTAGAAACGCTTTTGATCAAGATTCTCTCTGAAAACGTTCTCTATTGAAATAGGAATCACTTGGTAAAAATCAGTGAATCGTTTGGCTATTGATCCAAATTCTCCTTTAAATGAACTAGAATCACTGCGAAACACCTATTTGGTTGATTCTCATTCCTAGTTCAAAACAGAGAAACGTTTCTAGGTGTTTCACGGAGAATCATTTCACTGAAAAAGGTGTTTGGCAGGGATTTTGGTGATTCACCTGAGAATCCGAAACGTTTCTGTCATCCAAACGGGCCTAATATAAACCACACTGGTTGCGATGAAGCATAAGGCGCTTATGTTCTTCCTCCTAATGATCAGACCATGTAGGCGCTAAACGACATGTCCCCGCCTTATGTTCTTCCTCCTAATGGCCTTTCTCAATGGCATAGACATTGAGAAAAAAAAACATATAACGCAGCCAGAGTAAAATATAGCACAGCAAATTTGAAGTAGGGCGTCTGTCATATGTAGCCCTACCAAGAGCTCCGTCAGCGAGTGATGTGGCAGATTAGTGCATATTAACATGTGAAGAGTCAAGGTATAAGAACGTTTTGTGGAGATGCAGTATTTCAGTTTAAAATTCTGTGGCAGGATACTCAAGAACAATTTTTAAATGCCATTCGACGGTCATCTACTGCTGGGTAAGGCTTGTCGGGTTATGGCAACATCCACAGCGTGCTTTAAAAATTCTTTGATTTTTCTCATAAACTTAGGACGCTGACATGTGAGGGTTTAAAATTCTGGTTAGGATACTCAAGAAGATCGCCGCCACTCGACGGCCATATAGGCATCTACAGTCTACTGGTGGGTAAGGTTTGTCGGGTTATGCCAAACACCCACAGCGTGCTTTCGAGGAGACTTGCAGAGCAGGCATCGACTTGTTGTCACCTGTGGTTCGATGAATAGTCGCTGTGGAGAAATAATGTTCCTTCCCTTGAGACAGTGACACACGTACCTGGGATAATATATATATATATATATACACTTATTAGGAAGGCAGCTGCACTGCGTAGAGATAGTTACTCGGTACGAAACTGAAGGGGTGTTTAAATCAGAGGTAAAGTTTCGAGACGTCACATCAGATGCTATATATGGACGTCACATCGGGTGTTCCGAGAGTAATAATAAAGAAAATTACAGAAGTCCTCGGTAATCCGCGAGACGAATTTATTAAGCCTAATTAATTTATCATTAGCACATGTTACTGTAGCATTACGTTGTCAAATCATGGGCTAATTAGATTTAAAAAATTCGTCTTGTAAATTGGTCGCAAGTTGTGCAATTTTTTAATCTATATTTAATACTCCATGCATGTGTCCAAACATCATCCGATGTGATAGGGACTAAACTTTAGGGGAAAAAACTAAACGAGACGTGAGTAGAATAGTAATATAATAATCATCGTTAAGAAATAAAGGATTGCAAAAGCAAGCATGACATTGGAATATTGGATGCTAGCTTGTAGTATTATTGGTTAGGATGGCAACGAGGCGGATTCGAATCGGGTAGAGTCTCTATGCATTCGAACCCGAAACCTGAAATCAAAACCCAAAACCGCACCGAACACCGATTCGGATGATAATCCGTCCCCAAAACCGAACCCACGGATACCCGAAACCAGAATGGATACCCAAAACCCGCTTTGTATGACAACATACTAAGAGAAATAAGGACTTTCTATAAACATATGCATGATATATATACACATATTCACATGTATAAACAAGAGGCAATAAATAATAAATATTTTCATGAGTCAACTTAGAATAAATTTAATAATATAAGTAAACAAGTTATTATTAACATATTATAAAACATGAGTTTTAATTTCAAATGATTTATTTCAGATATCCATGGGTGAAAAACCAAGCCCGAAACCGAACCCGATTGGTTTCGAGGCCCCGAATCCGAAAACCGTGGGTAAGAAATCATCTCCAAACCCGAACCCGCAAGACCCGAAAACCGTGAATATCCGACCCGAAACCGCCCCATTGCTGCCATAGTTACGGACTTTTCTCTTCTTTTTCCTTTCCAGCCATATTCTTAATTTTCTGCCAGTCTACCTGTTCTAGCACTACGTGTTTCTGGTAGCCTGTCTCCTTGATGCATGCACGTAGGTTGCAGCCTGCAGATACTATGCACGTATGAATGGAGGCCCAGCCGAGCTGACAAAATGATTCTGGACTTGGTGACTGTTTAGTTCTTAAAATTTTACAAAATTTTTTAAGATTTTTCATCACATCGAATCTTTGAACGCATGTATGAAACGTTAAATATAAATAAAAAATAAAACTAATTACATAGTTTAGATGAAATTCACGAGACGAATCTTTTAAGCCTAATTAGACTATGATTGAACACTAATTGCCAAATACCAACGAAAGTGCTATAGTACCATTTCCCAAAAAAATTCGCCAACTAAACAAAGCCTTGTTTAGTTCCAGTTGTAAAGTTTTTGAGTGTTACATTAGTGTAAAATTTTAGAGTGTTATATCGGTGTAAAGTTTTGGAGTGTCACATCGGATGTTATATAGGGGTGTCATATGAGGTGTTCGGATACTAATAAAAAATAAATTACAGAATCCATCAATAAACCGTGATACGAATTTATTAAGCCTAATTAATTCATCTTTAGCGCATGTGTGTACTGTAGCACTTTTATTATCAGATCATGGATTAATTAGACTTAAAAGAATCGTCTCATAAAGTAGTCACCCTCTGTTTAATTAGTTATTTTTTTAATCTATATTTAATACTCTATATATATGTCTAAACATTCAATGAAACATGACGTAAATACAAGGCCACTGTTGTTGTGTGCTCTGACCATATCTTGTTCCAGATTACAACAGGCAGTAGTAGTCAGCTATCAGCAAAGTCAACACTCAGCACTGATACAAGGTCATTTCATTAGATTGTGTGATGTACTCGTCCACAAAAGAATCCTCCCTCCATCCCAATAATAATCAGCCTGCAAATAATAGTCGGCCTGTTCGCTTGCTCGTAAATGATAATAAATTTTCAGTCGGAAATAGTATTTTTCTCTCAGACCAAATCAGCCAACAGTAAATAATTCACGATACGATACGGTCTTCCGGCTGCATAACGTTTTAGCACTCAACACGTTAACCAAGGAGTAAGGAAAAAGACCTTTATACCCCTATATGTTCTCTCTCCTCTCTTCTATCGATCCCAATCCATCCAGATCTAGATCCAGCGCGGGGCATCACTCGACGACATGGGAGTCACGTCCGCTCTCGCAGGTGGCCTCGCTTCGCGCAGGAGCCTCGCTTAGTGCTTGGCGCGGAAGCCTCTCCAAGCACCGACAGCCTCACCCGCCTTCGTCGGCAGCCTCACCAGTGGAGAAGAGGAGCCCGGTGGAGAAGGAGCGAGAGGGGGCCACTGGTGGATGAGAAGAGGAGGGAGTGCGCTGGATCTCGGATGAAGAGAAGAGGAGGGAGGGTGCCGGCCTCCTTGTCGATGCGCGGGCCGCATCCGCTCCGCCAACTCCCGCGCTCGGCATCTCTGGATGGGGCCGGGCCTGTCCTCTCCAGTGATGAAGAGGAGGGGCGTCAGTGGAGGAGAAGGGAAGGGGGCCGCGGGTGGAGGAGAGGGTCAGGGAGAGCGCTGGATCTCGGCAAAGGAAGCGACGATGGAGGCTGCCGGACTCCCGCCGGCAGAGGAGAAGATGAGAGGGCTGCCGGCGGCGATGGAGATGGGCAGCTGGGTGCTGGCCGTGGGGGTGGGGACGAGCGCGGTGGTGGGGGTGGACCGGTGGAGACTGGAGAGTGGAGACAGGCGCTGAGAAGTGGGAGGAAGGGGATGAGAGCGAGCCAGCGAAGGGAGCAAGGCACATGGGAGTGGCAGTGGCCAGTGGAATAGCCTGCAGGACCTATACTCGCCTAAAACGACCCTTTTTCTGGGACAAACGTTGAGTCGTAGAACGACTCTCTTTCTGGTACCGGGAGTACAGCTATAAGAAATATGTTGATCAAATTAGCTCAAATTTGATTAAATTTATAGTAAATATTGTTAATATTTATGTATCTAAATAAATTTATTATAAAAATATATATTCTATATATCAAATATATCTGTGTTTATTTTGTTTCATAAGTGTTGGAGGGAGTATTTAGAAAAAAAAACCCATCAGTTTCTTTAGAGAACCTGTGCCTCCAGTTTTTTTTTTTCTTTTTACCAACAAGCATGAGAAAACCTCTATACAAAGGTCACGAGGGCTCTAAGACTGTCCACAGTGTGAGCGGTGCCGAAAACAATTTCAGTCTGACACAGAGCACCGATGCTTTAGCTCTCCAATTCTCACAGCGTGGGCACCGGTGCTTTACTGTGCTTGTGGACCCCGTCGTAGCGGCCGCGGAGGCAGAGGCGAACGAGGAATAATATTTTTTAACGTTTGAAGCACCGGTGAACGAACATGCATCGGTGCTCACTTTTTTTTTTCATCTCAGCACCGGCTACAACGTGGGCATCGGTGCTCCAAATAGGAGAGAGAGTGTTTGGGCACCGGTAAAAAGCATCGTTGTGGCTAGTCTAATTGTGCATGTGTCTCTTTGGCTTTTTCTCTTGACCTTATCACCCTTACCCTCTGTTTGAGCAGTAGACTTTCTCCTTTCATGAACGAAGATGAGACATGCCCTTCTGGCAAATTGGCAATCCACGCTGCCGCATTGTTCTGAAAACTGCTATTCTCGGTCTCATTCACTGTTCCTAGAGTTGGTGGAACATTGCGCTTAACTAGGATCCACAACGTTTCTGCCACGAAACCATGCAAAATCACTTACTATAGGTCTTATTTGGCTATACCTTAATTCACCCTATTCTATATGCATCGAAAGTTAATTTTCCACTTGAATTCACCCCGACACTGTTCACCTGAACCGTCGTTTAGCCCATTTAAACACCGTATAAACACTACACGGTGGTGTGATGTTTTCGTTTAATCATCGATAATGATATGATTAAGACGCCCGGACGGACGGACGCCTCCCACCGCTCACTCCCGCACGTGCTTGCACCCCTCCCCATTCTTATCCCTTCCACGCTCGTGCCCTGCCACACGCCGACGACACGGCCATGGCTGCTTCCCTGGCCGGTGGCGGCACCCTCACCCACCCGGTGTGCGTGCTCCCTCACCCCAGTGTCCTCCTCTTCCACCCCGGTGGCTCCTTCCTCCACCCCGACGTCCTTCTCCCCCACCCCGGCTGTTCCTTCCCCCACCCCGACGGCGCCCCTCCCCCCACCCTGGCGTCCTCACCCACACCGGGAGCGCCCAACGCCCGCGGATCCGGGGGCCTCTCCTCCACCCCAGTGAGATCCATGGAGTACGAGCGAGATCCATGGAGGTGGTGCCGCGGTATTGTAGGGGAGTGGGCGGCTTTGCCCCACCCCGGCGCGGCGCCCTCTCTCACCCCTGCGCCCTCTCTCACCCCTGTGTTGCACATGTTGCATATGTTGCAATGGTTTCAGAGACATGTTGTAAGTGTATGTTTCGAGTGTTTCAGATGTGTTTTCCGGACGCATGTTGCAAGTATGTTTATCTGGATGTTGCATCTGTTTCACATATACGTTGCATGTATTTTATTTAGATGTTGCGTATGGTGCACTGGTTCTCAAAAAGTGTTTTTAGGTGTTCTTTTCAAGTGTTCTAGAAGCATGTTTGAAGTGTTTCAACTGTCTTCAGACCTATGTTACAACTGTTGTATTTGGATATTTCAAAAGTAGATCGGGTATTGCATCTCTCCTCCCCATCTTCTACTGCATCGTCTCTCCCGGCGCCGGTAGGGTATCCATACGACACTGCGGCTAGGTCCTTCTGAATCAGAGGCGCCGCACACCCTTCCCCTCTTATCGCTCGGGAGGCGCGGGCCCCGCATGGAGCTCGAAACGAAGTGTAGCGTCCGGGCGTTAGCACTACCGTTTAATCTTCCGTTTACCCCGTTTAATTGACCGTTTAGTGGACTGTTTAGCTCGAATAATAGTTAAACGGTAGGTGACCGACTGTTTACCGCTTAACGTTTAGGAAAACACTGCACTCAACACATGTGATTTAGAGTGGATTAAAGTGCAGTCAAACTGACCCTTACATAAACTCGTAGCATCGCTGAAACAAAAAAAAATCAAGTATCATTTGCTGCCATTGCATGAGGGAAAAGAAAGGCTCGGTCGCCGAAGTGCGCTGCGCAGGGCACTTTCTTGGCTTGTGACTGCACCATTGAAACATTCAGCAGCAACACCAGCTAGCTAGCTAGTTCTGTATTGGCAACTAACACATGCATGCTGTGTACCGTCCAGTTTTTGGGTGAGGAGCCGAGGACAAGTTGTCATCGTTAACAGCGAGGATGAGCCGCTCGCCTACTCCGATCACCCTTGGATTTCGACGCGCATGAGCTGTCCCGGCCCCCGGGATAATCTTTCAGCGGAAGGGCGCCGGCTCGCCCGGTGCTGCGGTGTCCAGGGGATCTGGATCAGTATCAACAAACTGACAGTGATGCACTAAGAATTGAAGTTTGGAAATGGTACGGTAGGTCCAGTTCGCTTCATTATTGGTGGATTGCTTGGAGAATCTTATACGAAGCAGATATGCCTATGGTTCTGTATATAATATATAATGTTTTGCGGGGCAGGGGCAAGGCGCGCCGTGGACCGTGGTGCCCCCAAGGCAGACACAAGGATAAACAAGACGAGTGAGGCTTTCTATGTTGGAATGGCCTTTCAGTGTCCAACAGAGGCTTCAGGCCTGGTTTTGCTTCACATTTCACAGTATATATATCGTTCGACCAGAACTTATCAGCCTGATGTATCAGTCATTGTACAGTATTTTTCTCTCACAATAAATTAGTGAATAATATTTTTCAGCTAAACTTTCAGCGAAACGAACATGGCTTATCTGGATAGCAAAGACCTGGCGACTGCTTAGCTTGTTCGTCGCTCGCTTCCCCGCAATGTTTTTATCTCCTCAAGTTGGCAGAGAGAGAGAGAGCATAGACTCTCGCATACGTGCACATATACTCCTATCGTTATGGACTGAGCTTATGAATATAAGATTTATAAATAGTCAGTGGAAGATGGACGAAGGAAAATCAAGGGCCAACTAAGAAAGTACAGCAATAGACTTATAGTCAAGCTAGTTAGCATTTTTACTGACGTAGAGAAGAGAAGAGAGGAGATAGAAGAGAGCTTGGCTCTTATTTTAGCATCAAGCTAAGAACGGAAGCATAGGCATCTATAGGCCCAAACAATAGTGTATATGGGGAGGAGTATGGAAGAGAAAATAAGACATGGTACCAGATAATAATAGACAATCTTTTTATAGATAAATAGGAGACAACTATTGTATGACTTGTTCTTATAACTTGACTTATAGTCAAGCACTTAGCTCTATTATTGACCTAGCTCTAAGAGCACTTCCATCACAGTTGACTACTAGCATGAGCAAGGAATAAGAATAGACAAATAAAGAAATTAGGGGTTCCTCCTATTGGCGGTGACGAGTGAGGCCGCATAGACAACCAGTAAGAGTATCCTAATTTTTTTTTATCAAAGAGCCCATATTTTCCAACTCCTAAAAATGTATTGGGAGAAAAAAAGAAGGCCATCTCCAATAGTTTCCAATAATTCACTCCTAAAATATAGAAGACAATTTTATATCAGGAATCCGATACTATTTCTAAATTATTTTAGCCAATTTTATATATTTTTTCTCTCTTGTATATTTGCATCTGGAACCATTTCGCACTATTTATTCTTTTTCCGCCCTTCCGCCTTTAATTGGCCGATGAATACACGGTATCCGCACGACCATGACTCCGCGTAAAGTTGTGCGCGACGGGGGAGGATATCACAAGTGCATAAATTTTAGGAGAAATGATTAGGAGTTGTAGGATATAGATTTTTCTCATCTTACTAAAAATTAAGAATTAGAAAGGGAAATATGATACTCTTGATATGCTCCTACCCAAACATGCTTGACCCTTGCGATTGCGAGCTCCTACCACCAGGATTCTAAACCCGTATTTTTTTTGTTTGTTTTTGTTTTGCCGTTATAACAGGAGCAACACAAAATTTCACGAGATGTTTGGTATTGTCCGGAAACCCTCATCAAGCTAAAGTAAGATATGAAGGGTTCATATCCATATATATGTTGCTAGATATCGTCAAGCTTTGTTTCTAATAAGAAAAACTAAATATGCAATCCAGATTGCCCAAAGCAATAGTTGAGCACCGGAAAATACACATTATATGAGTCTGTGCTCGTAAAAAAATTCGGAGAGACAACGAATCATTGGCTCCTGTCATGTGTATTCATTTGGGTATTTTTTTTTTGAGAACTTCATTTGGGAATTTTGGTTTGAATTATTGGAAAAAGTCGATCACCAATCTCTCACCCCACGAGCTAGTGGGAGAGAATTTTAAGGCATGTTTGGTTGGAGCATGCAAAAAGCTGTCTGAAACATACATACATCCCAAGTGTCTGATTTTGGAAGCCTGAGACTAGGATATGTTGCCTTGCCAGGCCTCTAACCAAACAGGCCTTTAGAGCCTCTTTAGTTTCTAGCTAGGCAAGCGTGCTTGGCCTAGGCACCTATCATGCACGTCTGTGGATGCCTGGGCTGGGATCGATAATAACTCCATTGAAACGGAGAAAACAGATTGCTAAGTTGACAAAAAAATGGTCAACCCAAACTAAAAAGCACTCAATTTATATATATGACTAAAACTATATTATTCACATCACAGCTAGCACCTGGATCTCCGGACGAACGCCCGTGGCTACAGTCCGTTTATGCGCCTGACGCCGATGTCTGCTGCCCCAAAAAAACTACGCCCCACTTCGCGCCTATGTTCGGACACCCGCGTCCCCT